GCAGGTAAGGAAAACAGGGTTCAAGTTTTCTTTTTGCATTGGGTTGATTTTAAACTGTTGTATGTGTACTCGCAATGTTCTGCACGGGGGAATTTCTGCCTCAGCAAATAAGTAACAATGAATATCTCTCTTGAAACATCGTTCGACACATTTCAAAATCAAAAACAAAGTGGATGTGAAATCATCAGTCTTAATTTGATCACAATATAGCAGCCTATTGCTGTAATGTTGCTGTCACTCCTACAGCACTCTCGCAATTATCACGCAAAGTCCAAATTCACAGACTCCGGTCTTCGGGCTGTTACATGTTTCTCAGGATCTACACCGATTTCCTGGTGTGTACATCACCGCTCCTTCTTGATTCACTGAGAGAAGGTCTCGGGAAAGTTAATGGACTATTTAAAAGTGTTTCGTGCTGTTTACTTACGGATACGAGAAGGCACATGCCGTTGACGCATATTTGTCACAAAAAGCATTGTAGCAATCGAAGGCACTGGTGTTTGCATTAAGAATCTAAGTTTAGTCTAGAAATCGAAGTGCTTATCCTGATTTTCCGTCGAGTGAACTCACATTGAAGAAGTCATGCAGTTCGCTGGTATCACTGGGGAGGTTTCAGATGAGTCGATGGGATGTCAATCTCCGTCCACTCCAAATTTTGGAAATTGGATTTGGAATTTTGCTTGCAGGCTCACTGGGTTTATAGAAAGATTTTGAAATTAAAGAACGTAAATACCGTTGATTTGAATGAGCTGTTTCAACAACAAGTCTCATGAAAGGAATACTGAAGGCTTGCTAGTTGAAACTGCGGCATGTGGTCTTTCTGAAAGCAATGAATATCGCGAAAAATTCTGTACCGCTAAAAGAGCGATTGTTTCGAGACTACAATCCCACATCAGGAACTTTCGGTTATCATAATGACATGCCATTCGATCTGTACCATATTCGATTAAGGCTTTCGTGAATACGCAATAGAATGTTCTTAATTGCCTATCATTGAGTGAAAACAAGAATCGCCGGTTCATTCACATCGTTTGATGTTGACAGAGGCTCGTAATGTCCCAGCGCGGATTGTATTTATGCGAGTGAGAATCATATCTTTGATGAAGTCATGTAGACCACTTCCATTACACCAAATGCTGAAACACAAAATGATTCCCTATTAGTTTTTCTCAGAATGAAATTCAAGGCAGTTTTTGTATCGACGGATAGTGCTAGAATAAGCGATGCTGTCGGCACTGATACAAATCATAGAGGATACACCATGCATTCCTCTTCAATAAGCCCTTTACTGCGACGTAGCCTTGCACGCGGTGTACTCAACGGGCAGTGGAGCACGCTTTCAGAGCAATGTTAATGTCTCACAATAAAATCCAGATTTCGTAGTCACTAGGAAAATTTATCCTCTATCGATGTGACAATGGAGTGTTTCCACCGCCTAAACCTTGCTATATAACTGCAAAGTGAAGTCCGCTGTGTAGTCTAAACAACGGGTTATCTACCAAAAAAGTGAGTCATAATCATTTCCTTGTTGTTACTGTGAGCTAAAAAGGCCTTTTTCACAGATATCAGACATGGTACTGAAATCATCGATTACCCAGATATCGAGTGACCCTTAAAAAAAAGCTCCAACCTGCAAAAAAATTCAAGAATACACGAACACGGCACACGAAATGCAAATACTTTTAGCGCAAGTCATATCGTACAGTACAGATTTTTGGAATAACACAGCTTTCTTCCAGTGAAAGTACATTTTAGAAAATTTATCATTAAACTTAGTTCTATGCATAGATCATTTTTGAATCAGATTGCGCTATTTAAGCATTACAAAAAACAGCTGCGAAGTTTAGACAACAAGTTGACTACTCCAAATTCCGAAATTGATCGTGAGTACAAAATTGGAAACACTTACTTGTCTCATATTCAGCTGTGCCCATACCAAACTGGAGAGGCTAAAAAAAATTTGTATACTGCTCATGTGAATTTGCTTGGTTGATCCATAATAAAATAAGTTCAACGCTTTCATACAGCAGAAATCTCGGCTCAGTAGTTTACATCCTTAGGATCGCCATTTATCTTGAGAAGGTTGAACGCTCCAGAGTTTGTTCTAACTTAGTATCAACTACCTACAGTTTTCAGTGAACTCACCACAATCATGCTAAAGCGATGCGAATTTTTCAAGTAGTTAGGAGCGTTTATGGATTACTGTAGAGTTTGCTACACTGGGACAAGAATTAATTCAATAATCAATAGCTTTCATAACAGTAGCGATTACCTTGAATCTGCTACGTAATCAGACAATCTATTATATTGTAAAAAAAGTTTGTGCTTTTAGCTATTAATGTGGGCAAGTTACTGGCGGTGGTAACAACAGGGAACGCTTTTTTGTGATTTTCTCAAAGTCAACATTGTGTTTGTTATATAAGAAAATGTCTTAGATCCTTAACAAGTCTTTGCTGCTATTGTAGTAAATCTCATGACCGGTATAGTATGGCAGTCTTAATTATTTGCTTATCACTCTAGTCAACACTCCTCTAATATCAACGTATGAGTTCGAAAGAAAAAGCCACTTAGTCCGCAAATGAGTAGAGGTCACGGTTACAAAGGTTTTTGGCTGAGAAACTGATAACTGTACCCCAGCCTCAGATCTTGTTAAATGGTTATGTTAATGAAAGTGGACCGAATTAAAATTCAAAGCGGTTATGCTTGATAACCATCAATGAGATTTTCATCTATAATGCAATAGGTGGTAATGCAAATCGAATCCTCTCCATTAGACGTAGTATGTTAGATTTTCGCTGCCAACTTGCATCGTTTTCCGGAACTCTATTAATCACGACATACTTTCCTCCTTTTTCACTCTAATTGATTTTCCTTTCTTGTACTCTTATAGAAGATATTCAAGATGAATAGCAAATTATGTAAATAAAATTCCATTGTAATTGTAAGAATGCCGAGATTCGAGCATAATTGCGAGAGTACTGAGAGAGCAATGGCCTCGACTGACGTTCTAGCGTGCGCTGCCATGGGAAAGCGTGGTGACCTTTCGAGTACATGACACGAAAACAACAGATTGATTGCTCGTATCTCAGAGGTGCTGCAATTATCCTTCACAGTATGCTTTGACTTTACAATGATATTTCAGGGAATGAATAAAAAAACCGAACTTACTTGCTTAGATTTTAGGTGAATTTCTTGTGTATAGCCATTGTCAATCTCATCATGTTTTCGAATTTCCATTTACAGATATTGGTTGTGCAATAAACAGAGACGATTTGATGATTGCACATCACATGCCATACCGAAGAATTCATCGATGAAATGCGAGCGTCGAAAGTTCCATGATGACCTAGCTTTGACAAGGCTAATAGCGATCGGTTTGACGGAATCTTAGCGGAAACCTTGGTGAACCTTCATGCAAACATCAGGGATTATCGAACCGTCGATTTGAGTGAGTTTTTTGAGATATCTCAAGAACGACATTTTCTTAACACTCGGAACCTTCTCTCGCTGCTAACTGTCACGTCTTTATAATTCTACTGTTCATAACGATAGGGTACGATGTGAACCGTAACCGCAACAATACTGAGATACAAACAAAACTTCGAACACGACGTTCTAATAGGTTGGGAAAAAAAGTTCTGAGAAATGCTTGTCAAACATTTATTTATGCACCTATTACACCTGAACAAAGACAAAGCTAATACTGACTGACTAATCGAAATACAGAATCGATTTTTTCAGATTTCTTTCTGGGGTTTTGCCATTGAAGTTAGGAGCACCAAAAGGGAGATTAGAATCATCTCATAGAAAATGCACTGTGAAATATCTTTGATCCTTTGTTCTATGCATTACTGACATTAACTTTGTCCTTAGAGGCGTAAACAATTGCTGACAATTATCTCTTTGTATGTATTTGAATAAATTTCGACCATTTTCAGAATAATGCTACACTGGACGGCTTGCTTAACCCGCAAAATCAAAGAATCAACGCATATCTTAACTGCAATATATTGCAGGAATGAATTCACTGGTCGTTCCCTAAATGCCCTGCAGAGGAAGGTTTTGACGAGAACCATAAAGATTCTATTGAAGTATTGAGGATGAATATGTTTTCCCTCGTACGTCTTCCCAACTTCATTCATACCTATTCAAAGAAGAAACTGACTGTAAGAAAAAGTGTGCATTCGAAATGCGGCGATTCGGACTAGAGTTTGAGTACTATTTGTCAACGGTCCACCTAGAAGACTAACCCTCTCGCAACGGCGTCATGCATTTTGCAACATGCCGTGCGACGCCGCGTCTTACTTAGCTACTGTAATGACGACGTCGCATACCCGCATAAAATTTATTGGCGGGTGTCTCAACGGAAAGAAGGTAAGGTTCTCATAGGAACACATCACAAAGACGACATTTCCTATGATCTAACAGGAAAAACTATGCCCCTCTGAAAAGGAACGTATTTACAGCTGCTGTATAAAATTTGTTTCATTTTTTGTCCAAGGTTTTGTGAAAATTTGATAGTTTGAGAAATGCCGATTATAGAACTAAGCTGACTTTCTAAGAAGATATACATACTACGTTCTATTAACGGAAAGAGAAATAATTCTGCTCTTGAGGCGTGACTGTATCAACTTCACAGCGGATTGTCTAATACAAATATAGTAGAACTTTGTTTCCAAACAAACTTTACCGCTATGGAAACATTGAATATTTCTTTACGGACTTCTTCAGACGTTATGTTAGCGAAAAAAAGCGCCCATATAACCTATAATTCTTCACTCTTCAATAAGAATTTTGTCATGTATTCTACAAAATGTGCTCATTTTCACTGGCTCTTAACCAAACCTAGTTTCTTTCTTCAGATAATTAATAGTCATTCGATAGTTTGCGAATTGCTGATTTCATTACTGATCTAGGTTAGGAAATCATTTATTTGACCGCCTCTTTTGGTGATATGATCATATAATATACTCAATAATGTAGAGTGCTGTGCAAAAACAGGCGTCAGCCAGGATTCAAACTCTGATCTCACTCTTTGCGGGAGTGCGTGCTGAACCGTTGCACTACCGACGCTCGTTTTGCACAACACTCTTTCTGATATAGGTTGTTGGAAAGGATTAATACTGTGTACTAGCAACAAGAGAAAGAATATGTTTCGCGATTTCAGTACGTTGGTTCACTTTTATAGCTCATTTGTTGGCACTTCTATGGTAAAATTTCGTTTTCAGTGAAACTTTGTTCCGGCGAAAAAATTGATATTACTAGAAGGACTCTTACAAACTGATATTGAAATCTTGCCGAACTATGATGAAATACGTAGAACACGTCAAAAACCAGTACGCATCATCAACGACAAACGTTGCAGCGATGAATATCTACAATAGTGTGAGTATAAATAGTATTCAGAGTGAAGAAAAATTTCTATCAGTTTTTTGAGATATTTCAATAGTTAGAAAATACAGCACGAGCAAATAGATTTTTTAGTTAGAGGAATAATTCGTTTATTAAATCAAAAGTTACAACAACAAACAAAAATGTCTATAACGTATTTTCAAAATTGCCGCCTTCGGTCACTATACATTTACTAAGTCGCTTGCGAAAATTTCAAACGACTATCGCACACGTTTGCGCCGCAGTTTCATCTCAGGAGCTTGTCAAAGCCGTGTTAAGCCCGTCTACGGTGGTGTAGCGAGCAGCCACAACTTTTTTCTCCAGTGTGACAACACAGAGTGATCGATTGGGTTGAGATCTGGCAAGTTCGGCTGCCAAATGTCTTTACTCTAAAGGTCTGGAAACTGCTCTTGACAGATGGCAATCGATGATCCACCCGAATATACCAGAGCCCAGTTCTGCTGAAGCGTAAATCCCACAGCGCCAAAGTGTTGAGTAGCTCAGTGCTTCAGTATACCCCGTAAAACTTGCTGCTGATAGCTGGTAGTGTTGACTTTGACGTTTCTGTTGATGAAGACCAACGTCGTTCCGCTGGCGTTCCGGTCCAAACCACAATAGATACGGAAAATGACTGCGGCCCAAGATCGTTTGCTACTGCGAACTTCTGCTGCCTCTTCTTGGAAAGATTACGTAGATTCCGGTTGTGTCTGAGTCTGACCATGACGATATCTTCTCATCCGTGAAAAGCACCTTCGACAAACGGGCATCAGCTATCGAACGAATCATTCGGCAAGCCTTTGAAAGCTGTTTATCTTTCATTCTTTTTGTTCAGAGAAAAAGCTGAAGTCGAGCAGCTGCAAGATCGCTCGTGTCCACTCTCTGACTGCCCTACTGTAGACATTCATCTCTGCACCGTTTCTCATTGATGATGCGTTCGGTTTCACGTGTTCTACATATTTCTTCATAACTCCGGCCAGATAATCCGCTATGAAAGTGAACGAACGCAATGGAATCGCAAAACATAATTCTTTCTTGCTGCTAGAACACAGTATTAAAACCTTTCCAATAACCTAGATCAACATTGAAATCATCATTTCTCAAACTATCAAATGACTGCGAATCATCTCATGAGGAAGCTCTGCTTGGTTGAAAAGCCAATGAAAATGAGCACAATCCATATAGTATTGGCACTATTATTGCTAAAAAGTGAAGAATAGGAAACATGGGCGTTATTCCAATTGATAAAACGTCTGAAGAGGTGCGTAAAGTAATCTTCAATCTTTCTATAGCGGCAAAGTTTACTTGGAGGGAAAGTCTTCCATATAAGTTTTAGCAAATCTGCTGTGAAGTTGATACAATCCAGTCAGAAAGCAAAATGTATTTCTCCTTCCGTTAGTAGAACGTAGTACGAAGATCTTTTCAGACAGTCAGCTTCGTTCCAGAATCGACATTGCTCGACCCATCATATGATTAAGGAAACGAGAAAAAAATTGAGACAGATCCTATACAGCAACTGGAAATACGTTTCTTCTTGAGAGGATATGTTTCTCACGGTAGAAAATAGTTATTTTTAGGAACATAGGAATAGTCCTGCCGTATCAACAAATGAATGCCGTATGCATTGTGAAGCACGGCCCACAGCGGACGCTACAAAGTTGCAGCGCCTCAAAGTAGCCTTATTCAGCATGCTCGCTATACTTCCCTCTATAAACCAGCAGATCTTCAAGCATCTCAATATTTACTTATGCGAAAATGCTTCAGAAGAAGTCTACACTGATCTACTTTCATCAACTTTTTCGCCTCCAATTTCCTTGTTTCGTACTGCCTTAATATGTAAGCTCACTTTTTCATGGACCAAAATGTAGGGATCTTGGTAACTTCTGCTTCTATTAGTGATTAGAGCACAGTCTAAGCGGAGATATGGAATGAGCCTTTTTTCAAATCTAGCACTGATTTGAAAATCAACTCGTTGATTACAATGAGCTCTTGATCTAAGGGGACCAGAACAGCTTTGCTTGGATAGACTTTGTTGTTCAGATGGTGTTTGTCTTTGTTCATGGTGTGGTGTTTGTCTTTGTTCATGGTGGGAGACACTGTGCATGCAAAGCAGAGCAATAAAGAGTTATTCAAGGACAATCTACCACATCTGACTGAATGTGAAAAATCGATAAAAGTATAGTCCTTAGCATCTCAATCCCTGAAAGGTGCACCATGCATTCAACTTCATCAAGCTCGACTGTGGTGAGTCACTGCTGTGATCCTACCACACAAGTCTGCTACTAATTCGGCGACTTCGGGAAGATATCAGCAAAATGTAAGCGATTTGCGAATCGCTTGAGAGTATCGAGGACGTATAGAAGATGACGAAAACATCGACTCCATTCCAACCTTTTCGATTCAACGGTTATCCTTGAACTTATGTTTGCATCAGAAACTTAGGTGGAAACTTAGGTGAGGTGCCACACAAGCGAGATGAAAAATAACCTGACGTTGTTGAATGCGCAGTCGAAAAGTCGAGTATTTCTTAAATGTGAGGAGGGATCAGAAGTTCTGACCTACGTCAATGACAGAACATCACAGATGCCGATCTACAAGCCAAGCTACCGAAAATAAGGTGAAGTTGGACACGTAAGGCGCTTTGACGACAACCGGTGGGCGGTAGCCGTTACCAACCGAATTTCTCGTGATGTCAAGGGCTCCAAAGGAAGATTTTTGACGAAGTGGCGCAATTTCTCCACGCAAAATCTAGAAAAAGGATATGATGCGTAACGAATTAGTGGATGAGAAGGACCCACTGGACTACTCCTGCACTCGATAAGGAAAAATAGAAGTATTGCTGGTGTTGGAATTATTAAACGGTGAACCGGCAACTGATCATACAGGTGATTGCCAAGCAGACCTGCTACTGAACCTGAGGCTTGAAGATCTTCTAAGCCTAAGCAAAGCCTAAGCACTGCATGAAAAGCATATGACCGTGAACAGTAGATCTTCAAGCGCAGAGTCACATGTTCTATCTAGATATTTTGTCAAAGCGGATGAAAATCTTTGTTTCAATAACAAAACTTGCACTCCAATTGTGAATTGTGTCTGTATGGTCTATCGATAGCTATTGATACACGGCCATCACACGACATAGCAGACAAGTAATGTGCGACGTACTGAAACCCAACAATATTTTTCTGCTACACTACACTTAAGCGGCTTTCCTAAAAAATAAGCACAGCGTTGAAATTGTCGAAACATACGCTGTCAAATGGTTATTTGGAATTTGAGGGTGAAAATTTGTTAAGCTGAAAATACACGTGTGTATTTCCAAAGGTAAACAAATTTTTGAATTTTTAAATTTAAGCTGTTGAACAATTACTATTTACTTCGTACTAGTTTTTACGTGCAACATCATTCATCTCTTCGTGACAACGAAATATTACTGATAATAAAATTTTACTGCAGAAGGGCCAATAAATCTGCTGTGAAAGTGGACCAAAGCAATGGAATGGCATAACATAATATATATCCCAATGCAAGAACATAGTGCAAAAGTCTTTTCAAAAACCAAGACCAGCATTGAAATCAGCATTTCTCAAACTATCGAATGATTACTTACCGTGTAACGAAGAAAGTCTTCGATAAAAAGCTATTGAAAACGAGCACATTCCATAGAATACTCGAAATAATTCTAAATAATGGGATAAATAGGCATTTTTTTACTAGTGGAACATTTAGAAAACTTCGTCCAGTGGTAGTCAGTTTTTCTATAGCGATAGAATTTGCCTAGAAGCAAAGCTTTACCATATATATACTAGAAATTCTGTTGTGAAGTTGATACAGCGCAATCCGGAAGCAAAAGGTACTTCGCTTTCCCTCAGTAGAAAGTAATATGAAGATCATCTCAGAGGTCAGCTTAGTTTCGGAATCAGCATTTCTCAAGCTATTAAATGATTACAGAAACGCAGACAGAAAAAATGGAAGAAATCTTATACGTTAGCTGAGAAAAAACGATCCTCTACAAAAAGACGTGGTTCTCTCGTTAAAACATAGTAAATTGCGAACAAGTGGGTGTTCTTTTTACTAAGAATATTCTTATAGCAGTCTCTATTGTGATGCGATTTCATCAGAACTTCGATTTACCTAGTAGTTCCCTTCTATCCATTACGATGTCCGCCATTAAAATGCCAGGGCGCCATTATAGTAGCTACGCGAGACGCCTCTTCGCGCAGCGTGTTGCAAAATGCATCACGTTGTTACGAAAGGTGATCTTCTATGTGAGATTATCACATACACTACTTAACGTCTAGTCCGAATCGATCCATTTTGAGTGCACACTCCTTCTTCCATTCAGCTTCTTTTTTGAATGGCTATGAATGACGTTCCACGTACCTCCCTCTTTGAGGGATCCAGCCTGGTTAGTCACGAGGGCAAGTGGCGCGTCCCCAGGTGGTGGATAGGGGATTTAGCGCAAACCAAAAGCGACCGTGTGTTTTCCAGAGACGCAGATAAATTCAGGGATGGGCTCCCTGCTTCTGCAGCGCCGACTTGACAAAACTCTATTTCCACGAGTCAAGTCGGCCAAAAGCCTGCAATCAAGAGCTGGGAAGTACATGGGAGGCGGTTAGGAGTCGCTTCCAACAAATAAGCTCCTCTCGCTCCTCCGAGAGAGACTGGCAAGCTACTCGTGAGTACCC